ACGAATTCGTTGCACAGAAAATAACAGAGAAACGGTAGTTCAACCAGCATAGTTTTTTTTTAATAACCGCGTGGTATCAAGGTAACCAAATCATCGCGCGATCAGTTAGGTGACAGAGGAAATAATTGTCCAAGTAGGGTCACGAAAATCGTAGAGTGGCTTCAGGTTTGCTTCGCAGACATGGATCCGAGTCAATTTTGTGGATATCGTGGGTTACACAAATTGGCTCCAAACTAAATAAGTAACAATTGGAAAGAGATTTAACTATAATGTAGCTTATATCAACATAAGAAATAGGGGAATATAAAAAAACGGAAGGACAGAAAATGCCTGTTAACGCAGAGCCTATTCACAGAAACTTTCCAGTACACGCCTTCTTACGGGAATTTAAATGTCACGGTCACAGTAAGTGACTGACAAGGTGAGTGCATTCTGTGCCAACTTTCTATGGAGAAGACGGTGTATTTACTAGGAGTCTGGCCTTATAGAGAACATTGTCTTCTGGCCCTCGTCTTGAAAAAGTTATGGAATATGAATTCCGGTATAGTAGTAGAACATAAGTTTGATGGAAACTCATGAACTGCGTCTTGTTTATATGAATCAAAAACGCGAAGGTGATCGTGGGCTGTCGAAAAGTTTTTAGCAATTTTATAAGTAATTCTTAACGATAATGGCGTCCCCTTCTCTCAACTACCCCCAGACGTGTTAGACGCAGTACAACAATAGACTATACTTTGATTCGTTTGCTCCCTCAGATTTACAGTCTACTTTTTCCTAGTGAAAGTTCGTACTTCATCATAATAGGTTCAAAACAGCCCTCTCACTTCTTCAAGTTCTTGGAGCATACGTGCATGGGTTTCCCTTTTCTGTTTATAAACTTCTGCACTTGATATGCTTGTCTTTGGAGGAGTGGAATAAATATGCTCAGATATATAGCATGATCTAGAGAATGAGATTTCGGAGATCACCAGATCAAAAGATTAATTACTTTATCTGCAGGAAGTGCTCCCAAAGCACCTTTCAGCCCCGGTCTGAGGATCCCAAGATTTGCTCCAGCCATACGTGCAACAAAGTGCTTCAACACCTCGTAATATGGCGAGTACACCAGTCAGACAGCAGTTTTCTCCAGTTTTTTTTCAGCGTAATTGTTGCAGCCGTTGACTACTTGATTGTGTGTAGTAATGTAGCTTCAAACTTACCATAGAATAGCACACCAAGTGCTAGTCCATCTTGAATCGGCATTCTTTGTCAGAAATTCGTGTTGCAAAAAAGACTTTTGTTGCCGAACTTGGCCAAGACAGCATACTTAAGGGAAAATGCTGTGCACATCACCTTATTCTTATGCTTTACATGTTGATCATAGGACAACACAGCAAGGTTATTTTTGCATGAATTGTGAAATACAGTTGAAAACCGGTGTATCATATAAAATGCTTCTGGAAGACCTCTGTCGGGGCAGTCTTAACAGCGACCGTGAAGATGTTCTGATACCCCATCTTAGATCCAACTGCTTTATTGCCGAATACCACTCGAAGTACCAGCGGCTCTCGTAGTATCCCACTGGGTTTCATACAAAGTCCCGAAGTTTCCTGCTAAACACATCTCATAGTGAATTCTTCAACCCAGCTAAGTGAACACTGAGGGCTTGTGTGAAATTTCAGATTTCAACACCAGGACGGCCGTGCCGTTGCTTTTGGTTGAAAGACGGTATGCAGTCAAAAAACTAATCTCATCGCTCTCCGCATATCTTTCACATCACTATGAGTGTACATTCCAGCCATAAGCCCTGTAGTTGTCTTTTGGGAACTTAACTAGGCCTTTGGCATTTCCAAGTTACTTCGTCTTAGTAGACTTAAACGTTACGCCTGAGACTTTCCTGTGTGATTAACTTCGCCGAGCCAAAACTTCACGCGTAAGCTAGCCGCAATAAATCACGCCACACTATGTATTCGAGTGAAAATATTCACACAACTTTCAGGTATTCTGCGGATCAGCGGCGAGACGTTGATGCCTGAGGCATCATTCAGTTTAGGATGGCCTGGGTTTCCAGTGGACGTGGTTGAACAAACTGAGTCACTAGGTCCTTATACAGTTTGTCGGCACACTACGGTCTAATTATGTGTGTCGCAAGTTAGGCTGTCAATCCACCAAGCCTGCACCGAAAAACGTATTTCGTCGGATTGAGTGCACTCACGATACAGATGCCTTGTTGTCCCTCATTCATTAGAGCAACCACATGTAAACTCCAGGCAGAACGAAGACAGATGCCAATCTTTTTTATGAAGTGCAAGCATGTTGTGGATTTGTCCACATCCTGAAAAATAACGGATTGTGCGCCAAGACGACAGCATTTTACGTTTCCACTGATTTGAACACTTCTGTAAGTGATAGGAACGTTTTGGAGACTAAAATGTCATGAAATATAGGCAAGTATGTTTATTCATAACTATATAAATCCGTTTCAAACCTCAAAAATGCAATAATTGTGAACCGATTGGACATTCACTTTGTGAATCACATATTCTACCATTTTCGCATAAAACATGCTATCAATGGGTTTCTTTAAAGGCCTTTTCTTTACCCAAAGCTTGTCCAACGTATTTCAGAACGGGTGATTCTGGCTCCCAAAAACCGAAGTTACACAAATAGCAGGTAACCCATGGTGCTCCGCCCTTATCACATTATTTCTCATTCATCCTGCAACAAAGCTGTGAAAAATGGTGTTCCGCTGTCGGAAGAAGTTTAGGCAAAATTCTCACTACGATTTATAACTCAAGCATCACGAGACGGTGTCACTCAGTTCCGTGAATTTTTGTTCGATTCTGGGAGATTCAGCCTCTAATTCCAACAACAGGAAAACTTGGCAGTTTCGCTATAGCTAGTGGCTAGCTCAATGGCCAAGGCGCCAATCTACTCACAGGAAGTCTCGTTGCTCGAACCAGTCACGGCATCTTGACTGCGCTTGTCTAGGTTTGGGTAACCTGGCAGTAGCTCAGTCCTCGTGCCTCCGGCGGGTGAGGTGACACCTTTGCACCGAAAAGGTGTTACAGTTGGAAAACTGCTGTTATTGGCCGTTTTGATTTAGTGGGTAAATGTGACCATTGACACGCGCGATTTTCCAGTGTCGACTGAATCGTGCGACACAAAGTGCGTTTTTTCTAGAGGACGTAACGATGATAGAAATAAAATACACATGAAGTAAACTAATCCAAAGGCATTCATTTTTTCAATTCAACAAACTGGACCCTTTGAATCTGCGTTTTTGAATTAACGAACCATTCCACCCATAAATTGGTAGGGTTTTTTAATCTAACATTAGTCATTTAGAAACGATTCTGATAATTTAATACGGGACGAGCAGGCGTTCGTCTAAATAAAACTTGTTTGGTACGACGCCGTAAGTTAAAAATCTCTCATTACCGACATATTATAGATACTTTACTCAGCAAAGCTCTGTAATTCCACTTCCGTTTGAGTTGTCCCTACACGGATAGCTATTCAGCAGCAGACCACGTGATGTCTAGATATCAGTGAACCACACTATCCATCAACCAGCATGGTGAAACAGTGTGTTGTCTAGCTAATAACTTGAGAATCAAGTATTCGATGCGCAGTTTTGATGGTTGTCACTTACAGTTTTTAGCGTAGTGTACGAAATCTCAAGTGAAACTTGTGTTTTGTTTCCCAAACCACAAATACCTAGCTTTCATTTTTACATTGGGAAAACATGGGAAGATAGATAAACCGTTTGACTTTCGCGACTTTTAGGATCAGAAGCTAGCATGACAGACAATACGGTGAAGTATTCCAATTTCTCACCTAAAATCTATGGAGCATCTGAGCGACCCAGTACTGGCCTTGTACTTCTTGCCCTCAGCAGATAGGCATCGCCCCCGAATCTAAACTTATTTCTACATGACGGTTGTACTTAAAGTATGCAGTTTCGGAAACGAGCACCGGCAAATTTTTTACCAAGGTCTGTACAATTTCTGACTGTGGTACGAAGTGATATATTGGAATTCCGAGCTTCGGCAGTATTTTATGCTAACTAAACGTTAGCAGGATCAAAAGTTAGGCTTGAAATGTGTTGCGAATTTAGAGTGCAACTGATAATCCGACATATGCACTGTCTAAATAAGATCCATTCTAACTCACAAAAGTTCTCACCCTTCCAGAAGCTTGTATGAGAATCGTATTTTTTGCCTATAATTATTTATCATTCATAGATTCTTGCTGGAACTCAGAGGTAAACGTTTAGGACCACAGTAACAATATGACCCTTGGTTGCAAACGAGTAAATGGGAGCCTGAGGAACTTTGATGAGTTTTAGTTTTATGCCAGAATCGAATATTGCACTGGCCAAAAATCACATCCATACTTTGATGTCGTTCCAGAAAATTCACTCTTCTATTCATTGTTTCCGCAAAGTGGTTTTCCGATAAGGTGGAATGACTAATTATGTCACAGAAAAAAGCTGTTTTTGCATGGTTCTCAAACATCCTACCCTAAACTCATCATTGAAATAAAAAATAGTCATTTCTGTATCGAATACGGTGAAATGAATTAGCATGTGTCGGTGGCTTCACTTTGGGCGCATGTCTAATGGATGCCTAGTGATGGCAATATATCATCCGTTATATGAAAGTACATTAAAGAAATGTGCTCATCCGAATGCATGCATTAACCTGCATCTTCTACTGTCCACTTTTTCCGACTGGAAAATGAAGTTCCGCCGCATTACCATGCATGGCTCATTCACGAATGGTTGCATGTGGTTGACTGCAGGTCTGTACAACAACCTTATGTAGGAATTCACTCTCTTGTAAAACCACGCTTTGCGTATCAGCGGATAGAGATAGCTTATTCGTCCATCTAAGGTGCGACCAGATCGCAGATGTTACTGAATACCGCTTTATTAACGGAATCATAATTTGGAGGGGCACTGTTAATATTCTGGTCACTTTGACCCTAGACATGCCTTAAATACTTGTTTTGTTCAGTTGTGGAGATGACTGTTTTACCTCTGATCTGCAGCAACCACCTCACAATCGCTCTGGTCACTTGTACACACGGTATAGCATTGTGTCACTCCAAACCCAGTGAGACGGCGGTGACAGTTGAATCACTTTCGCCTGTCATCCGTCGAGCTGAAAATCCCGGAGGGGAAATCCGCTTTTAATGAGGAAATCTCTTCAGTAACGGAGATATGGGAAACCAAGCAGGGCATAGAGCACTGACTATAATCCCTTTGGATAAAAAACCTCAATGAGACACGATCTATCACTGGGTAGATTAACCAGATGGGAAATACCACATCATTCGGCACTCACGTTTGAACAATCTATCTGCCTGGTAAGCATGTGGAATACGTTACACAGTTGTATGCGCTTTGAGCACTCTATCTCTAACACGACCATTAAGGAACACTTGAAGGACTTCCACCCTCCTTTGACTGAACCTCCAGCCCAAAACGAAGATTCCAACACACGTACACATTCTTTGTCTTCCAACTATTAGTGGACAATCCACGAATTTTACAAAAGTGCAGAACCACTAAATGAACCCAATCTTGAAATTCCGTAGAAAATACTGAGCTATGCAAAAAACCCTCCTGTCTCTTCTCCAACTCTGACAAACCATCATTCGATTTTTCAATTCTGGTATCTGGAAGCGAAGTGCTTTCTATATGGACAACCTGCCCTGAGCGCATGAATCCTTACCTGATGAGTCTTTTGTTTATTCCTTGTCTTAAACTACGTGCCATATGTGACAATGGTCAATAAATACAAATGTAGTTTCCCGATTACCCTGTACCGCTTTGTTTTGAGACACAGTATTGCTCTTTTCGATGAAGGATTAACAATTACCGACAAAACATTCTGTCAGATATTCTAATGTCCTGATGACGGAATCGTTGGCCACCCGACTAGACTTTCCGCCCGGCAACTCGTCTCTACCTCAAGTGAGTAGTAGTGGACATCCCCCAGAAAATACGGTTCTAGTGATTTATTAATGGAAAATACTTTATTGTGCTGAAAAACAAAAGAATCAACAGATGACGCCAGCACCTAGACGCCAACTAGCTAATGCAGTTGACCACTATCTTGACAGCATGATTCTCCACAGGTCGCCGCACGTTTGTAGGCCTATCTCATTCTCTCACATCAGCAGCTTGCATCACAATCCGCTCTGGATTAACCACTTCTGTTCATTTGTGTGCGCAGTGGATCAACGGCCCCTGACCAGCAGATCCGTCTGGGATGCCATCCAACTACATGCATGTCGTACAAGCAGTACAGGTTCTATAGGCTGATCTCCAGGAAACTTGCATTTTTAAATAGAGCAATCAAGTCTTTCAATAGCACCGAAATTCGCGAGAATCAAGTAATTAATCAGTAAGGAGGCGTCAAAAACGGGCCGGGATAGCAACCGGTTGGGAAAACAACTGGGCAGAATAGAATGGACCAAACATAATGGTAGGAACAATCAGTACAAATGGGAAAGCTCTCTTGCAGATTAAAAACAGAATGCGCAGCTTGGTCATCAAAAGGAAAAATGAACTGTGGTAAGTGCATGCTGCATTGACTAGGTATTCAGGACCCGCACATTCACGCTGAGATAATCAGCGGAATGAACAAATGGTCGCATCAGGAAGGAAGGAAAGAGATCATGGACGTCTGTCCATTCTATTCCAGCACACAGCGATCTAATCAGTGAGGGAGAAATGTATTTACATGCAAGTGAATCCAGAGAAAAAATAAAAGATCAATCGGTCGTGACCATCAGCGTGATACGCTAAGAAATCGATGAGGTTATTTATTGGATGCATGGATGGATGGATAGGAGAAATAAACAGGACCATAGATGGCATAGTCGAAACACTTATTTCACAGTACTGTCGTCATCCTCCACGTGTTGCAACACTGCGCTGTCTTCCGAAGCTGGTGGAACGGGTGACTGCTGCTGTGGGACGTTGGAATCGGTGGAAAATGTGGAATGAATGACAGGGGCCGCTTCGAATTCCGCCTGTTCGACAGAAGGAGCATCTTGGCGAACTTTTTTCGGTTCGTACCTATGCATGCTCCGCGAGGTCCTAGAGGCTTCCGGTGAGCTTTCTATTTCTAATCCATCCATATCTTCATCCGCACTTTCCGGTACCTTACCATCGACAGTGATGTTCTCCGGTGTGTTCGAAGACCCGTTTAGCGCAGGTGTTTCAGGTGTGGATAAAGCCTATGCACAAAACAGCGAAAGAGAGGATTGAATACTTTTAACTCGAACAATGAGCGGAAGTGTTGATATTGAGGTGCAACACAGAGGTCATCTCGGTTAACATCTTCACAAAAAAACGACATGAAAGTAACCAGCTTAAGAAGGGTTTCAGCAGAACTAACCAGTTTCCAAGCTGCTTACACAATAAATAAATGAGAAACTGAATAATACAAAAAGAAGACAAACGGTGTGGAAAGTTGACGTTTTGCTTTTATTTTTTTCAGCTGCGATGAGCAATTAACAATCGATCATACCGCTTAATTAAGTAACTGTGTTTCAGGTGTTCTCCATGTTTCTATCCTTTGCTATGAAAACAGTGCTTTCGCTTGCCGCACAAACATCCGGATTATTGACCTCCTATGAGAACTGGTATGAAACAAACCGGATGAGCTAAAAGTACTCAACAAAAACACACTGTAAGCAGAAAACCGAGCTTTTTCTCTATCTACTCATCTGCATGCGCGGGGTGGTTTGAAAAGTATTGGATAGCCAAATTCTACTGTCTTGCGTGACTGCTAGGTGAAAAACGAAACCGATATATCAGTTACACACAAACCTGTGTAGCATTCTAGAAGCAAACAGCCCACGCACGAAAGGTGTATTCAGCAAGACATGGAACAATCCACCAAACTGAAGAGGAATGCTTCGGTGAAACGGGTGATTTTGGGGATACGGAATTTTTTCGATTGCAATCTCTCCTTCGAAAAAACTCGAACAACCGAAGATATTTTCTGGTTCCCTAAACTCTTAGAGCAAAAAGGGGAATATGTAAATCCACGTAACACTAATCGACACTTGTCAGTTGTCTTCGCTCATCCTCCCTGTCAGTTGACTAGCAAACCGAACGTCAGACCTCATAAGAAATGCCGATTCACTATCCCACCACATTAGTGCAAACGTCTTGATCGGTGCTGAATTGGCCTGGCAAACAACTTAGCTTAGATTACATACAGCAGTCTTAAGCAAAAAACACCAAACTTGCAGAACACATAGAAGGTGAGTGCGGAATAAATGAATGAATGGAGTTCCTACTGGTTCCTTTGTTACACACACCTTTGTAGCAAAGTACAATACTCCTCCTCTACGGTCAATTCCAACATAACGAACACTGCTTTGGTGATCAAGTTCCACCGTCCTTTCAACAGAGAACTTATAATACTCAAGGATAACATCCCAACCGACCAATTTGCGGATACAAAACCCTCTACAATGACTACCAGTACCGCACAACCTGATCGATTCACTGATTTCTCTACCATTGACTGCATTCAGCAGTCACATATGTGGAAGATAACAAAATGCTGAACAGTCTTGAAACGGAGTTAGTAATGCATGAGTGCAAGTACTTGCCGCCCGCGCCACAGTAGAGACTGTATGACTGAAGGCGAAATACGGATCCGACTGCCTTTTACCTAGGAGATACATTCATGCAAACACTAGATATCGGGTATGCTAATCAAAGTAGAAATTACTCTTTGCACGAGTGACGTGAACTATGACACTGATTAAAGTCGGTTTTGTGGGAGGACAAAACATGTGGATGACTCTTAGCACATGTATCAACCTTACACAAGGCCCATCAATAAACGCTGAATCTCCTACTGCAATCTCCGCGGAACTTTGGAGACGCGGTATAAATTGTGGAAATCTTTTAGGGGGTCATACGGTGACACAGTCCAAAATAGCAACTGAATCTTAGTGTACCGAAGGGAATGGTCTATTTGATGCTGTCATTCACAAAAATTCATAAAATGCAGACTGCAAACCGCCCTAATGAAAACAAATTAGGCAGCTCAACTGAGTGTTTTTGCTCGCATAGACCGTACCGCTTCCGGTGGATAAAACTATTATGTCTGCAATCTCAACATCAGATTGTACCTGTACCTGTGGTGTACTTTATTTGTGACAAACAGAGAGAACTCCTGGGATCAACGATTGAAAGCACCTCCCAATTTAGATGTTGGATAAAACCGGCCCACCAGTGAGTCCTCCACTTCATCGATCAACTGAGAAGCTGCGCAACTCTTAGTGAAGATTACACCCCTGCATATAGGCATGCACTACCAACCTCGTTGTGCCACTTTCTGTTTGGCCTGAGACAGCGACGTATTTTCATCACACTGGAACATCTCTATTCCTCTGCTATTCTCGACAGAAATGACAAATTTGTTTGTGATAATTACCATGGCTTGAGCTCAGTGGATGTAGCCTCTGAATTACTTGCGATCGATCGCTTGAATCGATTTGCTAGCGAAAGACCCCCGCACACAAGAAACAAAACTAGTAATGTTTTCGCCCAGAGGGGAGAGTGCGCCGACTAAACTTTTTTCTACGCCGTGTTCCAGAACGACACAAACAGCAACGGCGACTGTAGCCTGTCTCAATGATTTCTACCTATGGACCTATGGATCGAGAAGCACTGTGGAATATATTGGAATCCAACAGTATCCCTAAGATAACCAGGTTGCTAAGAAGCTATAATAACAAGTGTCCGTATGATTGGCGAAAATTTGCCGGTCTCCGACTTGTCCTCTGGGGTTCTGCAGGACTGTCTGCTGTTTACTGCTGGATATTGTAGTTGCAGTTGAATCTTGTAGTTGTCATCGGATACCAATGCGTGGAAGTTGGACAGAATGTATCGAACATGGACTATCAATTCGGGCATGACATAGCTGCACTCGCTGCGGATCACCACAGTATACAGCAAGTTATCGATAGAAAATGTCAATGTGCTTCCTCTTTTGGTCTTGGGATAAAAAGCCAAGGTCTTTCTCTCATCAGCGCGCAACTCCGACGAGCTGTTCAAAATAAACGGTCGCTCGAGTATTTTTGCGAGTCCAAACACTCCGGTCAAGCCATTCTTCGGAACGACCAAGGTTGGGATGAAGTCACAACACGCTTGAACAATGCTGGTAGAGTGTCCCTACAACCGATGCGTGTACTAAAGCACATAAATTAATCTGACGACTAGGATGCGGTGCGATGGAACCCCTTGCTAACACTGGAATTTATTAGGGCTCTACTAACTACTTGTTAAGAGCCATTACTTAGCGTACAACAATACTTGACAGCCACGCTACGTTTGCTCTGGTTTGAACGAACAAGCGAACTTGACATGGTGTCTGAATTGCATCATATTTGTTCGTTGTTTTTGGACTTTGTTATATTTGTTGCAATTGACGAAACTGTATCAAGTGGTTCAACTGCGTAATTTGTAATCTTTCGATGTTGTTCACATGGATTGAGGTTATTCGAAGATTTAGAAGTCAAGAGAAGTTAAGAGGTTAAGAGGTGGCTTCCATAAAAGTTACGATGATCAATTTCACAAACACACATACAGCCATCATTAACATCATTCATGCCTCGTTCTCACTGATATGTTTTTTTCAGCTTGGTGCGTACATCAGTTAGTCTCATGACGTATGAATGCCACGTGACGTCACGTACGGATAAGACGAGTGCTTGGAAATGTGTATACAAAATAAAGCTATATACCCATTCTCGTTTGACGTGAACTTGGCCCTAAAGCATGGTAGGCTTACCTTGGCAGTTTTCAACGCAAACAATAGATTGTCAATCAATCAACGGGCCAGTGGAGTGGATCGAGGTGTTTAGACATTTAGCCACTACCTAAGCGACAAATTGAGCTTCAGACGCGATACAAATGTGACAGTCTCGGCTTGTCCGCCATCATTCGGAATTAAGTCAAGGTGACATGACTCACTGGATTAGAAAAGTATGGACGTGCAAATAAAAAATAGCTATGAACACCGAATCTTACTAATTGTCGTCACTGTGCCGCAAAAGGCATTAGGATTGCCCAAAAGAAATAGTAAAAAACAATCACCCAAGTTGAGAGCCACTTGATATCTAATCTATATGTTGTTGTGGAAAGCAGTATGATTTTCTAAAGTTCACAACGCAGAAGTTTTTAGACCTAACTATGGCTATTCACCATGACTGCGTTTGAGATCGCCTTCAGTTCACAACATATAGTGACCAGATTCATTTTTCGCCTTTACAACTCACTCCTAATAGAATGACAAGAAATACATTGACAATTTATGTTATTATATTCTTTCCTGTGTCTAGGTAGTGTCATCAAGCGGGCCGCCTTAATTGCTTCATATAGCAGGAAGAGTGAGTGGAACCAGACTACTACTACTTATACCTTCCTCCTATGTATTTCACGGACTTTCGCTTCTCTCCAATCCCCACCACATGCCCGGCCTGAAGCTGTCACCTTGTCATGGTGTTCAAGCTTCTGTGCTGCAATTATTCTATGAACTACACTGACTATAACTCAGATCCTAAAGGTTCAACAGTGCTATGAAGGCCAAAGGGGGGCTGCCTGACACAGAACAGCGAGTAGCCGTATTGCGAGTAACCGTATTATGAGGGGGTCTCGAGGTAGGAGTGCGAAGACAGTAAGGCGTTTCTCGCAAGCGACCATTATGTCCATATTCATGAAAGCACCGATGCTGACTTCCCCGGAGAAGGATGGGTTAGAAAGTTAGCCCTAAAACCGTACACTCCGATCACCCAACGGCTGACCGTGACCGCCACACATTAGTTAATACGGTCAAAACACTTATGAGATCAAAACGTTCTGCTCGAAAGGCATCTGTTGTGCGAAGCTGCACTAGGCATACGCCCCAAAAGACTGTAAGAACTGCCAGTACGAACTTCAAACACAAACGCCACCAACCGCAAAACAGTCATGGACTCAATTGTACCATGGAGAGCGTCAAAGATTGTCGTTTCTTCTGAGGTACGCAGCTTGACTCTGATCATGCCACTGTGCAAACCCGATTATCACTTCGCTTTCCATCAGCATTACGTGTGCCAAAAGAGAGTAGTTCCATTCATCAACTTCGACAAGTTTCAATAGCTCAAGTTTATGGGGCTAGCCTGGCTAGAAAGCTACTGGAAACACAGTCTTGCGGATGACGACTTCGAGG